TTAGTGCTCCTTCCCTCCTGCCCTCTGCTTTAGTGCTCCTTCCGTCCCGCCCTCTGCTTTAGTGCTCCTTCCGTCCCGCCCTCTGCTTTAGCACTAGCTGGCTAACTCTTGCCTGAACTGCTGCAGAAATTTCTTGACTGCTGCAGTCTCCATATCCGGGCTAGCCACTCTGACCTACTTCACACACAGCAGTCACAAACTTGATATCCATCCAATCTCTCTCTCAGTCTCTCTCTATCTCAATCTCTCTATCTCTCTCTCCCCCCTCCCCCCCCCCCCCCCCGTCTTTCTTATCTTTTGAGGCATGTCTCACTATGTGTCCTATCTGATCTTGAACTCACAATCCACATCCTGCTTCTGCATCTCAAGAACTGGAATTACTGGTTTTCCTTTACATTTTTTTAAAACTAGATTTACTATTTTAGTGTATATGTGTGAGTGTTTTGCTTGCCTATATGTACATGCACCACATTCATGCCTGGTGCCCACAGAGGTTATATGAGAATATTAGATCATTTTGGAACTGAAGTTATAGATGGTTGTGGAACCCCATGTGGGTTCTGGGAACAAAAGTTAGGTCCTATGTCAGAGGAGAAAGTGAGCTAGACTACTAAGTTATGTCTCCAGTCCCACATCTGTTTTCTTATATGTAAGAGTTTTTTTGTTTTGGGGTGTTTTCATTTGTTTTTTTTGTTGTTGTTGTTGTTGTTGTTGTTGTTTTAGAGACAGGGTTTCCTCTGTGTTACAACCCTAGCTGTCCTGGAACTAGCTCTGTAGACCAGGTTGTCCTCGAACTCACAGAGATCTGCCTGTCTCTGCCTCCCAAGTGCTGGGATTAAAGGCGTGCGCCACCACCGCCTGGCCATATGTAAAGAGGAATAGTTTATTGAGGAATAGTTTACATGTCATATGTAACTGATCCCTTTAAGTGTACAGTTCAATCATTTTTAGTATATTCACAAAATTGTGTGGCTATCACTTTGATTAAATTTTATTTATTTTAATTTTTAGTGTGTATGAGAATGTGTTACATGAGTGTGTACATGTATGCATGCCTCTGCACATGGAAGACAGAGAAGGGAACCTGATGGTTTCCATCACTCTCTGCTTTATTCCTCTAAGCCAGGGTCTTCCTGAATATGAAATTCCAGCTAGTACCAGTGATTCTTCTCCCCCCACCCCTGTCCCCAGTGCTAGGGTTACTGATGAGTGTAGGAGCACAAGCACTCAGTCTGTTACTTGGGTTCTGGGAACTGAAGTTAGACCTTGTGGTTGTGCAGCAACCTAAGCACTGAGCAGCCCCTTTATCCCTTAATTCGATTTTAATACATTGCCAAGTGCAGTGGTGGGGCCTTACCTAGTATGCTGGATTCATACTTCAGCGCCACAAAACCAAACCAAACCAAACCAAAAACGAATCACTCCACAGAAGCCCCTCATTCCCACTAGAACTCAATCATTATTGCCACTCTGAGCCACCCAAAATCACTAAGCCATGCCTTTCCTGGAAATTTCATATAAATGGAATTCTAAAATATGTGTTCTTTTGTGTTTGACTTTCTTATTCTTTTTTAAATTTAATAATTAATTAGATTTTAGGTGTATAAGAAGTTTTTGCCTGTGTGTATCCTTAGCATGCCTGGTACCCACAGAGGCCAGAAGATCCCCCGGGACTAGAGTTATAGACAGTTGTGTGTGAGCCTTCATGTGGGTACTGGGAATTGAACCCCAGGTCTTCTGGACAAGCAGCCACTGCTCTTACACACTGAGCTATGACTCTGACCCCTCGCTCTCCCACTCTTAATGCAGAATTTGCTCAGTTAAAACCTTTGGACAGCTTAATTTTCCATCCAAACACCTGTTCAACACCCTTCATCCTCAACTAAGCTCTTGAACTTTCCATGACTCCTTAATATCCATCGTGTGCCCCTTCTTGCCTACATGCTTGTGTCCCCTTGCTGGACTACCTGTCTCCTCTCCGCAGACAGGCATTAGCTCTGTTGTATTCTCAACCCCCAATTCCTCAGCATTCAGTTCTGCCCACCATGTCCATTCTCTCCAGGTCCTTTGTCCCCTGCACACTACATTGTAACTTGTCACTTTGGTGTCCTAACTGGCCTTAGACTCAGAAGACTCAGTCTAGAAACTTCCCGAAAGGAAGTTCAGTCTTATGAGAGGGAAAAATGCGCTATGGAGCAAGCTACACTTACTGAAGCTCTATTATGTAATGCCAGGAGTGGAGCATAAAAGGGAGGAAGCTCCTACACTCTTTGAACTTGTAATCTAGCCAAGAAGACACAGACACACAGACTGAAATGCAAGACATTGCATGATCAAATAAAGTCAGGTGTCAATATTCCAGGAAAGGAAGAGAATGAGTAACTGTCGCTCAGATGTCTACAGAAAGCATCATGCAGGAGTAACTGGAGGGTGGGGAGAGACGGGGAGAATGTGCACAAGACTGAGAACTATACCATCCCAAAACTGGCCTAAGTAGCATCTCAGGACAGAGGGGAGGACGCTACGTGTGTGATGGTTAATCTTCATTGTCAATTTGCCTAGATTTAGAATCACTATGGAAACACACCTCTGGGTATGTCTGGGAGAGGATCTCCAAGAAAGTTTAATTGAGAAGGAAGACCTACCTTGACTGTGTGGAGCATCATTCCCTGGGCCAGAGTCCTGGAATGAATGAAAAGGAGAAAGCAATCATCTTTCTTTGTCTCCTGGCTGAGGACACAAAGTGACTAGTCACCTCATGTTCCCACCACCATGCCTTCCCGGTCATGACGGTCTATAGTCTCTTAAACCAGGATCCAAACTGAATCCTCCCTCCATCACCTTGCTTCTTGTCAGGCATTTGGGCCATGCGGCAAGAACATGTGACAAAACAGTGACAAAAGTAACTAATACAGATGGTTTGGAAGAAGCGGGACTTAGGGGCTCCAGAGTCACTTTGGATGCTAATGATGTCATCCAATACAGGGACTGGATGCTAAGCTTTAACCGAGGTTCTATCAGCAGAAAAGCTATGATGCATGGCAGAAATACAGTGGGGAACAGTATGGGATACAATACCAGGGATACATTTACACTAAAGAAACCTTCCCTTTCTTTCTTTCTTTCTTTCTTTCTTTCTTTCTTTCTTTCTTTCTTTCTTTCTTT